GCCTTGGCCTGGTCGAGCATTCGCTGGACCACTGGATGTCTTCTACAAGAGCGCAGGAGCAGCAGCTGGAGAGGGCATCGAATATTCAGAGAACCAGACATCTCCATCTCGAACTAGTGTTCTTCTTCCTCTATGGTTCTTCCCCATCCACTGCATCTCGCTCTTGTACCCAGATCCCCTGCTTCTAGTGTCTTCTAGATCCTTCTTGGTGTTCTTCTCTAGATCCTCATCCCCAACTGCTTGCTGAACTCCACCTCCCTCTTCCCTGAGGTCGTGTAATCCGATTTGTAGTTGAATCAAGCTATTCTGTGAACCGGTTGAGAGGTGTGCTAACACTAATTCGCCGACAAACTTGACTTTCAGTTATGACAATGGCTGGCTGTGTCCCTCCCATTTCGTTCACCATGCAGCCTATTCTGATGTATATGTGGTACATATATACCCTGCAGCACTAAACCTAGTTTGCTGCCTACGCGACTGTGTGAATATGGAAATCTATGGACGTGTTTAGTTCCAAAAACTTTCTCAAAAAGTGCTACAGTATCTATCACATCGAATCTTGCGATACGTGCATGGAGCATTAAATGTAGACGAAAAAAAACTAATTGCACAGTTTGGTAGGAAATCGCGAGACGAACGTTTTGAGCCTAATTAGTTCATGATTGAACACTAATTGTCAAATAAAAACGAAAGTGTTACAATAGCTAAATTTCCAAATTTCGCGAACTAAACACAGCCTACGTATCTTCTGCCCTGCACTTGTTTTTAGGGGCCAATTTGTTAATAAGAAACCAACTCACGTGTTTCCTACTTGTATCTGTTCATATCACTCCCCACCTGTATGTGTTCAAGAGAGGGGCATAGTTGGAGGGACTGGCAACTCTATGAGTGCTTCAGATTACTCCTACATCACTTGTGTTTATTGTGAAATAAATATCAAGACCTCTCCAATTTCTAGGAGCAACTGTATGTATTTAATGAAATAACAAAATTACACATGGTACTGAACATAATACAAAGCTTCATTTGATTACGCAGTCAAACACACAACCTTACAGCTATGTATAATTTTCTCAACACCTGGCGTCCGACCGCTGCGGCAGCAATTGGATATCCATCAGCCAGGGCCAGGGCTCATATGTTTGATCCACCACATAATTTTTGGATTTGTAACAGAGACAAAAAAGACGAAAATTGACAAAACAGGGGTATTAATCAATGTCTGCACTAATGCAGGCGCATATGCAATTCAATTTTTCATTAATATTGTATATGTGCACAGCACACTACTTTCACCAAGGGCAATTTTTCTAGTTAGGACGCTTCTTCTCTCTATTTATTTAAAACACCCTCAGAATCGATAAAGGATAGCTACTAAAATCTGGTATATAATTTCCTTACTAGTTGCGTCCTGTCCCTGTGTGATAATTCCCCTATTATATATGGAGCATCACAATTGCTTTGGTTGATAACAAATAATTGGGAACCTGCCCATTTTCCCGTCCGCATCACATTTTCTATTGCATCCTACTTTATTTCACCCAAATTTACTAGCCCGTTTTCCAGGAACTGATAGATTTACAGACGAAAGTGCAACCAAACACGGGGACCCACAACCTCCGATCTCCCATACATAATCAAGGATGTTGATTCGCCCGGCAACACCAGCGCCAATGAGCCGTTCCACCATTTTTTTTTCTGCTGGAAATTTGAGGCGAGCCAGAAAACTTGGGGAAGGGTGCAATTTTTTTCCCCCTCGAAGAGTACAAAGAGAGCCGTCCAATATTTTTGTTTTTGATTCTGAGAGCGCATTTTTCGAGCCGGTCGCGCGCACTGCCCCGCACGCTCGCCGCACACAATGCCACTGACGCTACAAAACGTCCCAGGATTAATTTGTGTTTAGAATTTGGAAATAACTCTGCTTAAATTAAGGTCTCTTTAATTAGATCCATTAGTATTAAAACATAGCTAGCTAATAGCTACTGTTTATTTAACTAGCTAAGTAGGAGTTCGTTTCGATCCACCTGCTAATAGGTGGTTGAATAGTGAGTTGAAGGTGTATATGAACTATTAGCAACTCTAAACCAACTAATGGAACTAATAGATAGTAGTCTTCTAGCTAATAAATAGCAGGTTTATTAGGAGGTCTGTTTTGATGCACTATTACTTATTTTAGGGTCTATATGTAACGCATAAATTTCATAGGGTTTGCGCAGGAATTTCGTAAGAGTCGGTTTAATTAATTTTATAGGAAAAACATAGAAACATGAAAAAAATTCCCGTATTTCAAATAGACCCTTAGCTGCTAATTTTAGCGCTAATTGATTCAAACAGCCTCTTAGATTGCATGGTAAAACCAAAGGAAGTTTAACATGTATTAGTGCCACCCAGTGTAGCTGCTGCAATTCTACCTTGGCCGATGCCATTGACCCGATGTCACGCTCTTACCAAATACCGGTATGATCATCTTCATGACAAGAGGTGTACACCTTTGGCCTCACTCAAGGTAATCACCTGGTTGGTGCTGATGCTGGTGCTGGTTTGGGCTGACTGGTACTGGTTTTTTTTAGAGGAAAACACTATTGACTAGTTGAATAAGTCTGGCTGAAACCAACAAGCGAACAGGGTGAATAGCTGACCAAACCTAACAAGTCTAAACAAATTGGATCTTATTGTGTGACAAAAAAATGAGATTGGGAATGCTTGGCAGGTATTTGAGTGGTCAACCAGTAAATTAGGGAAATCATACACATAAAGAAGTTTTCTTTCCAAGCCCACACTTAAGTAAGTCGATTCAGATTAGCCAACAAGCGAATCCATTAACTCAGTCAACTCTTTCTGGTAAAAGTGCTCATCACTACTACTATATATAATATAGTAAATTATAGACAACACTCAATGCTAATAAGTGTCTGTTCGTTTGAACTTATCAGCCGGCTTATCAGTTAGAATCTACAGTATTTTTCTCTCACAACAAATCAGCTTCAGCCAGCTTATCAGCCGGCTTTAATACCAGCCGAACAGGAAGTCAAGTCATTTACTAGTCAATAAACTGACTAAACCCTGTTTGTTCTGGGAATTGACCCACTTAACTATACTCTTAGGGCAAGCCGCCCTGTGGTAATTAACTCCATAAAATCTGTATCAGTCTTGAGGCAATTTGGAAATGCTAGACAAAGATATTAATCAGAGTCAGTCAATTCCCTAGCTACAGTTAATATAAAAAATGTTCTCCTTCTTTTAAAATATATTTTTATTTATATTATTTTTAAGAAAAGAAAAAAGTCTACTTAACCCCCACCTTTCATACATGGTCTACTTCACCCCCAATTATGAAACCGTCTGTTTTACTCCCTGAACTTTCCAAAACCGTCTATTTTACCCCCCCGGGCGGTTTTTGACAGCGGTTTTGCTACGGTAACAGCGGGTTGCTTCAGTAACTGTGGGTTCCTACAGTACCGGTGGGTTTGACTTTTCTTTTTTTATTTATTTATTTTCGGTGAATTTTTGAAAAATCATAGTAAATCATAGAAAAATCATAAAATGAAAAATCTAATTTTATTGGACTCCACATGAGTAGATCTATATAGTGAATATATAATATGGTATGCTTTAGTACAAAATTTTTACTGTAGCCTTAGATTAATTGGAAAATCTAATTTTGTCTGTAATTAATTGGAATAATTCATAGCTGCAGCTTCTATAGTCCAATTGTGGTGAAATTTTTATGGTACGCTAATTATTGTATGCTTGAATTATAGTAAAAATTTCGTACTCATTGGACCATGTATAACTTAGTTATAGATAAATTCTAATTAATTACAGAAAAAATTGGATTTTCCAATTAATCTAAAGCTACAGTAAAAATTTTGTACTAAAGCATATCATATTATATATTCACTATGTAGATCTACTCATGTGGAGTCCAATAAAATTAGATTTTTCATTTTATGATTTTCTATGATTTACTATGATCTTTTAAAAATTCACCGAAAATTAAAAAAATTTCAAACCCACCGGTACCGTAGCAAACCCACCGTACTGTAGCAACATGTTGTTACTGTAGCAAACCCACCGGTAAAATAGACGGTTTTGGAAAATTTAGGGGGTAAAACAGACGGTTTCATAGTTTGGGGGTGAAGTAGACCATGTATGAAAGATGAGGGTGTTAAGTAGACTTTTTCCTTAAAGAAAATATATATCTTTCTATGAATCAGAATCTAGCCTACCAGCCAAAACTATCTCATAAAGTGATTCTAATTCACCATATAAAATGTTTTCTGAGATAATCTGAATTTTAACATTTATAAAAAAATCCGGATCCCTACCAAATGCACCATGAATCACCAAAGAAACATTTCTAAATGAAATCTAGATCTAAAATATTTCTAAATAGAATCTGGATCCAAAACGTTTTTAGGACACCCTCAACAATATGAGCTAATTACTAGCTGTAAGATAACTTCTTCAATAATACTAACTTTTAGCAAATAACTCGTAACATAAATAGTCCCATGAGATCCTCATATAAAATCTGATATGAATAGTCCATGTTACATTCTCATATAAAATCATAAAATATATGCATGAGACTGTTATTGATCAAGAGCTAGATTTTCTCTTATATTAAAATGTAAAATAATATGCTTTAAGAAACAATATGCTTTGAGAACCATTCAAGAGCTGTCCTTACAAGAATATGGAATCCACCAAACGGCCCTAGTACTCGCGAACAGCTGTTTGCATGCATCTGTCATGAATCAATCATGGGCAGAATAAACACGCACTCTTGCATCGTGGTGCATCGTTACGCACACCCCCAAAAAAAACGCACAGCGTATTGTGATAAGTTTACAGTAATACTAATAATAAACAGCACTCGAGTGTATTATCACAGGACCAGACAATGAGCAGTTACGACAACACGTGCAACATTATTACATATCCAATCACAATATATCCAAGGTTGGATGCTTAAATATTGGATAAGATCACAACAGCTAGACATCTATAACGTGGCATCGGTTACAAGGCTCCCCAACATTCAACTTAACCGTTGAAGGAACTCTACCTAGGATGTAACTTCTGATAACGCTGAGTGATTTGCGCGCTTCCAAAATCTTATCCCTACGTACGGGGCTGCATTCACCAGTGCTTTGAACAGAACACCGACTAATATTACTATCTGCCACCTCGTTAAATATGGTGTCCACGGTAAGACTTTCAAGTGACGTTGCATTTTCTAGGATATGGCATGTCAACTCAACCATGCTCTTTGCAGAGCAGAAACCATTGATGTGCACCTTCCTGAGCCTGTGATGCTTGAGACCATGGATCTGCCTCATAGGCGAGACATACCCATAAACCGAAACATGCTCCATTTCCTCCACATGATTAACCTACATACGAATAAAATAATGTCACTTAAATTATACAGACCCTCAACAGATACTAGATAGCCAACATGAATAACTTACACTCAAGATAAAAGTCTCCAGAGCAGGAGATGCATCCAGAAAGGAAACCAACGACAAATAATCATAGGCTGGAGAAAAGGCCAAATAATCAACTTCAAGGTAAATCTTCAAGCACTTGAGGTGGAGGAATCTGTCAACTGCTATTGGTGTATCAACCGTCTGCACAGAGATATCTCAATTAATATTATATATTTTCTTGAGCATGACTATGGTTATATTATATTCCATAGCACTAACACACTAATGTGAAGTATCGTATTTTACCTCACCAGTCGAAGATATCGTAAGAGTTTCCAGATGTGGCACAATGGAAGGAAGTCTGGTAATAGAATAGCTGACAAAGTTGTCATGGTATGAAAAGCCCACATGCAGGTTCTTCAGTTGTGATGATTCTCCAAGTGAGAGTTGTATTGAATCACCAAAGAGGTCAAAAGAGGAAAGGTTTGGGGCCGTGCTCTCTATTACCTTAAGCATTTTGCACCAAGTGACACGCAGGCAGCTGAGACGCTCCAGACATAATGGGATCTTCAGGCAGATTAGCTCATCGCAAGACATGAGTTCTAACTGTTCCAAAGCAAAAGATTTGGAAATAAGACATCCTAACTCATTCCCCGTGATGCACACTTGATATAGATGTAGCTTTGTCAGTCTTCTCAAGCAATCAAATCCAACCATGGGCCGGAACGCACAATAGGTGAGGTGAAGATACCGAATTGAGTTTCCACGGCCATTGAGTAAAACTGAGCATGGGAAGTTATACCCGTCCCTATAATTTGTAGGTAGGAAAAGGGTGATTTCTTCAATGCCTGGTGTAATTGCACTCTGAAGCCAACTATTAAAATGGTTGGCATCAACATTATAATGATTATAGACTACAATCTTCAGTGTCTTCACGCCAACACCTACGTGATTTTTAAGAATACTGTCAACTCTGCTAGTAAAATCCTTTGCTATGTCACCTTTTTCACAAGCATTTCGTTTCAAGCCCAGTGCCTCCTCAGTGAAAATAAGATTGGGGTGGCATTTCCAAAAGCACATAAATGTGCGAGAAACGCAGGCAAAATGGACAGAATCACGCAGTGGTAATAGCGAGTGTATATGGAACCAGATATCCTGCACAAGCATGGAAATAATAGGTGAACACTAGGACTGCAAAGCAAAATATTACTTAATTTAACTTCTATGCAAATAAGAAATGCGATTATATAGGCAAAACTCAGGTGATCTTGTTCAAGATTGCACAAAGTGTGCTGCCTCATAGAGGTAAATGGAAGGGGCGGAACCACCATAACAGCGACATGGGGCGGCCGCCCCAGGTAGCTGCCGCAAGCGCGGCACTAATACCAGCTATCCCCCAGTCCTCAGGTCCTGCGAGGCTCCGACAAACTGAAGGAGCGCCGAACTGCAGCCGCATAGGATCGGACAGAGGTTGAAAAAGACATGTCGGTCTAATATATTTATTAATTTGGGCTACATGACTGTTGAAACATGGGCCTGGCCTGCTAGATCCATTGGGCACTAGCCTAATTCGAGAATCCACGACCAACATGGCAATGGCGCACTGTGTCCCATACTCGAGTACCTAGTCGACGCAGATTTTTTTAGATATCTTTTCGCTCATTATTTAGTCACTAACTCTTCTGTTTTTCTAATTGGTCAGATTGGTCTTTTTTATTATGATAAATTTATGTGATGTATGCTGAATTTTGGTGTCATAAATTGATGTGTTGTATGCTATTTAAGTACTTGCCATTTCTCTCATTATATGATTGCCATAGGGCACAGTAAGAGTCCTAAAAATAGCTCGACCACTAGGTAGTATACTAGGCTGTGTTTAAATACTATATAGCTGCAATACCTTGTGAGGATAATTGCAATCTTATAAATGGCCGTTCACAACCAGGAGAAAACAAACTGTACAAGACAAAGCCCATGCTTCTTGTAATGCTTCAACTGGAACAGTTTGTATAAAATGAACAATCAAGTCTTTTGGAAACATCTGTGAAGTCTATTAGTTCAACAGCCATTACCTTGTGGTGCTTGACCTACTTGTAGCAGAAAGCAGGTTCAGCCATGATCACACTGGAAAGGGAACACAGAAATTCAGAAGCTAGGTCCAGCCATTGGGGTAAGCAACTCCAAAGCATACCCATTACCAAACTCCCAATAAGAACTTATTGGGATTGCCCCCATACCATTCTCATGGTTATTGCGAGTGCAACTCTAGAAGATCCTCAATACCTAACTTCCCATATTCTTTTTGCACAAACACTGCCATATGGAGCCCACTCGTTAGTATCCTTGCTCTCCTCTCTTTTTATTTCCTCCGTGCTCCTACCGACCCTATCCTTCTTCTCCCTCTCTTTCTACCCGCTGTGTCGTCACCTCCCCCAGCTCTGCCCTCTCCTAGCAGGCCTCCACCTCCCCTCCCCCTTGCTCATAGCAGCTCTTACTCAGTACTGAAACTCATAAAATCTGGTTTTTTTGTTAGATGGGTAATCAGTGTTACATAAGGATGGTATTTGGTGAGATACTTTCATCTTTTCACGCGCCGGGGGGGAGGGGGCCAAATTTTTGGAGGCCATGTATTTTTAATAAAGTCTTGTGTATTGGATGATGTAACTAAACTCGTATCAGTACTGAGCAAGCTAGAGGTAGGTTAGGATTCACTGTCACTGTAACTGTAACAACGAAGTAAATACTAGATCTGTTAACATTTTTGAATGTAACAGCCATAGGCTCATCAACTAGAGCAGTTCGAGCAATCAAATTGATGCTTTACTAGTAATATAGGCTATCTGTTATCAAGCTGCTATGGTCTACCTCAGGAAAGTTCGGCCCTGAATATGTCAAACTTTCACCGCTCCGCAAATGACAATCTTCTTGGCAGAGTGAGTCCTTTTGTGACACTGGAGCAATCAATCCATCTGCAGTACAGCATGTATGGTGCTTAATAATATAACCAACTCCAGCAAACAACTGTGCACCGCAATCTAATTTGATTTCATGATCCAACTTTTGAGTAATTTATATCTAACAAAAAAACAGCTTGATTCAAGAGAAAAGCTACAAGCATGTGATCCAAAACAGTAACTCATCTAATAAAAAGACAGTTTGTTTCAAACTTTTAATTCAAGAGGGAAGCCACAAGTACGTGATGGAGGAGCCCATCGGCCAGGGGCTTCAATGTCCTATTCCAACTAGAGTACTTTAATTCTCCTCCCTACAAGGTTATCTCCAAATCCATATCAGCTAAACGAGGCATTGGCTGAGGCAGGTAGGACAGGGTTCCCCGGACGCTTCTCAAATCAAATTATGTTCACATGTTTTAGTGGGTACCTCTGGCTCTCATGTATCACTAACTCGAAGCATTATACACATGTATCATTAATTGATTATGAAATCCTTTTATCTGTTCAAATCCGCCCCAAATGTGTTTTCTGTGAGTCAACATGCCAACAAAACTGAGTGCGGTTTCCAGTTTTCCACTCAACCCCCCCACAAAAAAAAAAGTCTTAGTGCTTTGGCTTCCACCAAGTAAGATTTTATGGTCAAATAATGGTTAGCCGGGTTAAATTAATCAAATTCGCCAATTTGCTCCACCATCAAAAAGGAGAATTTTTTTAATTGGGAAACAATGAATAAACAGGAACACATTAGCAGCAGGCACCATAAGTAGCAGCAAAAGAGGTTCATCCATAGGATCATGTTCATGTAGCAATAATACGCATAACAGGTAACAGACTTCGATTCAGGTAAGAGACTTCGGTTCAGGTAAGAAGTGGCTTACTGCTGGATTGGATTCGCCGGCGACGCCTCCGTCCCTTCTTGAACATGAGGGCGATTTAGCGACACCATGCCCGTGACACCAGGTATCAGGGGCGGATCTAGTAAAGGGACGTGGGTGTACACATGTAAGGAGTTAGATATCAAATAGCCAAATAGCTTGAGGTTAGAGTTTGGGACTCGGTTTCCCACAGCAGACAGGGAAGAGAAGGGGAGGGAGTACCTGGTGGAGCGAGGAGATCGGCGAAGACCTCGGCACCTGGCAGCAGCGGTAGCCGGTAGCCGCCCTAGTCGTCGCAGACCGAGAGGGAGAGGGAGAGAGAGCGCACGGTGTGAAGGTGACGGATCACGGATGCGGCGGCGGCGGCGGTAGCCTAGCAGGGTTATTTCGACAGGCGGAGAGCACCCGCAGGGGGCTGAGGCTGGTGGCCGTGGCGTACTGGCGGAGTCGCGGTCGCGGCCGGGGCCGGAGTGCCGTGTCCGTGTGCGGGAGCCGGAGGATACAGAGGCTTCTACAGCTATGCCATTAAAAAAAAGTTCGTAATTACACATAAATTATTAAAAAAATTAACCGCACACGAGTACCATCGTTCTAAACCTTCTTTGCTTATAAAGGTCTAAAATACCCTTCTCTTGTTCTATCCTCTTACTTCTTTAGTCCACACCGCTCACGCTCGCGTCCGACGCCGGCGGAGCTCGCACCCGCGTCCGGTAGAGCTCACGCTCGCGCTCACGCGCCGGGAACGGAAGGGGCTCGACCGCGGCCAGGGCGCCGAACTCCCTGCGATCTCCTCCCGTGCCGCGTCCACCTGCTCCCTGGCCTTGTCGTTCACCTCCTGGAGGATGCGGATGTAGGAGACGCGGCCGAAGGTGGGGTCCCGCTGCCGCGCCTTGGCCTCCTCGACGAGCGTCGCCGCGGCCACCCGCCGCTGCTCGGGGAGCTCGATGCGCTCCAGCATCTTGGACACGTTGCTGGCGCCGAAGACGCAGTGCACGGCTGCGAAGTCATCCGCCGTGAAGTAAGGCGCGAAGACGCAGCCCGGCACGCACCTGCGTCGCAGCATCCTGCACGCCCCGCACGGCGCCCCCCGCCCTGCCACCGCCTGCTCCTCATCGTCCGGCATCTCCTCCTTCGCTTGCGTCCGCGCCCGGTGGAGCTCGCTCTTGTGCTTGCAGTCGACAGAGCCCCGCTCGGCGGAGCTCGCGCTCGAGCTCGCGGCCGCCATCCCCTCCGTCAGCGGCGGCGGCGTCCACGCCCGGCCTCGCGCTCGAGCTCGCGGCCACCTATCCCCTCCAGCAGCGGCAGCGTCGTCCACGCCTGGCCTCGCGCTCGCGCTCACGGCTGCCATCCCCTCCGGCAGCGGCGTCCTCGTCCACGCCCGGCTTCCCCTCGCACTTGCGGCCGGCAGAGCCCTGCTCGGCGGAGCTCGCGCTCGAGCTTGTGGCCGCCATCCCCTCCGTCAGCGCTCGTGCTCGCGGCCGTGGGCGTGCCCGCCGCGCTGTGCCGCCGCACGCTCCGCGCCCGGGCGAGGTGCAGGCGCGTCTCCCGCGCCGCCAAGGCCAAGAAGAAGGAGATGGCGGTGCTGCTGATGGTGGCTGCTCTGGCCGTGGCCATCCTCAAGGTGACCGCCTCGGCGCCGCGGCTCCGCGCGGCCGCCCAGCCTAGCCCCAACCACAGCGGGCGCGCGCGGGTGAAAGGTCCTTGTGTGGTTTTAGTAATTGAGTGACAACCTAGGTGGACTAATTATGTTTATGTGAGATACACAGGTGATTAGTCCACAAGTACATGTGTGTGAGCAACATATGCCATGAAGGTAAAAATGGTTTGGAGATGTTGCAAAGCTCACACATGTGATAATGAAGGAGCTTATTGCACATGAGACATGACATTGAGTCATGTGATGAAGGTGGAGAAGATCAAGACAAGACTTAGCTTGATGGACCGGTTGCAAGCGTGAAGGGCAAGTTGGAGGCTTTAGAGCGATGGACCGTGTGGCGGTGAAGCTTGAGCAAGACTTGGCGCTGATGGACGAAGGCAACGGTGAAAAGCAAGTGAAGTCAAGATCGATAAACCAATGTGATCACGTGATGATATGAAGTGGATTATATCATTGTTGATCGTGTTGGTGCATGTGTTGCATCGATATTAGAGGAGATGGAATGGAATGCGCAAGGCAAAGGTATAACTTAGGGCATTTCATTTCATCGGTCATAGGTGTATAGAGAAGTTGATGACCAGGTTTAGGATAGATGGTCATACTATCAAGAGGGGCAAACTTGTTTGCATATCGGTCATCTAGTGCCACTCGAGTGATCTAACTTTGCATCGTCGCTAGAATTGAGTGGCGTGGCAAGTTGAGTGGCTAATCCTTTGGAAATAGTTGTGAAAATGCTAACACACATACACATGATGGTGTACACTTGGTAGTGTTGGCACATTTATAAAGGAGATGAAGTTGGAGTTGATGTGGATCAACTCGGTGATGAAACAGAGGCGAGAAGGGTTAGAAACTCTACCGACGCCCTATACAGAAAAAGATAGGGTCTCACAGAGTGGACCGGACGCCGGTCACGTGGTAACCGGATGCTGGGGTCCTGTATCCGGTCAGTGGCGGTCGAGAGCGTGCAGGCATCGGTCTTCGACCGGACGCTGGCGCTGGAAGTGACCGGACGCTGGTAGGGTGCGTCCGGTCAGGCTGACGTACGATGACGTAGGCGATGCAGAAAAGTTGGAGAAGGACTGGACGCTGGTGCTGCGTCCGATCGTGACCGACCGGACGTGTCCGGTCGCAACTGGTACCTTACTAGAAACGACCGGACGCTGGGGGTGCTACGTCCGGTCAGTTTAAGCAGCTACGTCTGGTCATCACTTGACCGTTGAGATCAAGTGACTGAGGTTGAATGGAGACGACACGCGGTGAGCATCCGTTGACCGGACGCTGAGGTCCTGCATCCGGTCGATACGACCGGAGCGTCCGATTGTCCCGAGTTTTGCCCAGTGAAAGGGGTAACGACTAGTTTGCCCGTGGGGCTATAAATAGAAGGTGGCCTCGGCCATGGCTGGTGTTGAGTACCTCGAGGGACTTTGTGTCCATGCTTGTGAGTGCTTGGGAGCCCTCCATCTCACATATGCTTGATAGTGATTATTCGATTGTGTGAGAGAGCGATTCTAGTGCGATTGTATTGTGAGATTGCATCGAGTGGCACTAGGTGATCGAGTTGCAAGCCGATGATGCTTGTTACTCTTGGAGGTTGCCACCTCCTAGACGGCTTGGTGGTGGTCTCCGTCGAAGCCCTCAAGAAGCTTGTGCGGTGCTCCGGAGAAGAGCTTTGTGAGGAGCATTGTGCTCGCCCCGCGGGAGCCGTGAAGAGCAACTCTAGTAAAGCATGTCATTGAGCTACCCTCACTTTCGAGGTAGGTTCTTGCGGTGTCCGACATGCGGGCCTAGCGGGTGATGCCAATTAGCCGTCGAACCACCAAGTGAGTGGTCGACACAACGGGGACTAGCGTGTTGGCAAGCACGTGAACCTCGGGAGAAAAATCATTGTGTCAACCTTGTTCTTCCCGTTGGTTTGCAATCCCCTTTCACAAGCTTGTATTTATATTTCATATATTTTGTGCTTGTGTAGTTGCTCTTGTAATTAGTTCGCTTGTGTAGCTTACTAGTTGCCTTCTTGCTTGTGTAGCATAGAAGTAGCTCCCTTGCGTGGCTAATTTGGTTTGTGTAACCTTGTTAGTCACATTGCTTAGTTTGTGTAGCTAAGTAATTGCGCTCTCTAATTTGACATTGGTTGTCTTGTTATTGAGCATTGCTAGTGAGCTTAGGTGGCTTTGTGCTTTTGCTTACTAGCATATGTAGGAGCTCCCTTGTTACTTAAAGAAATAGTGGCATAGATTTGTGTGACCTTGCTTTTAGAATTGGTTAGGTGAGCTCTACCTAACCCGGCACCCTTGTTGCTTAATTAGTATTTTTGGAAGGTGCTAAAGAACATAAATAGAGGGTTGTAGTCTTGGCTAGACCGATAGTTTTAATTCCGTACTTGTTTCGGTTAGCCGACGCGATTAATTTTAGAAAAGACTATTCACCCCCCTCTAGTCCGCCATCTTGACCTTACAACGGGCGAGCTCGGCCCCGGCTAGCCGCCGCGGGCGCGCGCGGGCGAGCTCCGCCCCGGCCGCACGCCCGAGAAGAGAGATCGAGTTTGAGAGAGAGAGAGAGAGGATAGGGATGAGAAGGTATTATGGACGTTTTGACTGACCGGACCCACCACTTGTCAGGACTCCCAAACGGTGAAAAACGAACAGAACACCGACGGAATGGCTTGGAGAGCAAAGAAGTTCAGAACGATGGCACTCGTGTGCGGTCAATTTTTTTAATGGCTTATGTGTAATTACAAACTTTTTTAATGGCATGCATGTAAAAGCCTCGAGGATATATTCCAACTCCCTCGACAACTATTCCAACTTGAGCAAACAACCGTGGACCGCAATCTAATTTGATTTCATGATCCAACTTCTGAGTAATTTATATCTAATAAAAAATAACTTGTCTCAATTGAAGAGTAGCTACAACTACAAGTATGTGATCCAAAACAGTAACTCGTCTAATAAAAAGATAACTTTGTTTCAACCTTTCAATTTAATACCCTTTCCCAACTAGAGTACTTTCAGTCTCCCCTTACAAGGTTATCTCCAAATCTATATATATCAGCTAAACAAGGCTTTGGCTGAGGAAGGTAGGGCAAGTTCACCGGCCGCTTCTCAAATCAAGTTAAGCCGACATGTTTTAGTGGTGCCTCTGCCTCCCTCGAAGCATATACACAGTATCATTGATTGATTTAATTATGAAATCCTTTTATCTGTTCAAACCTGCCCCCAAAGGCCCAAATGACTTTTGTATGAGCAACAACATGCGGGTGAAAATAATACGCAGCAATAGAGGTTCGTCCATAGGGTCATGTTCATGTAGCAATAATACGCAGAACAGGCAACATAGACTCCGATTCAGGCAAGAGACTTCAATTCACGCTAGCTAAGAGGTGCCTTACTGCGTGAAAGTTGCATATCTGGCGCTCCAAACAATACGCTTCGTAGATTTAAAACTCCAAACATCGTCTTCGTAAAAATAGCCCTCCAAACATGGGACTCTTCATTTTCATGACATGTTCGGCTTGTTCGGCTTCTTTTTTCAGCTGGAACAGTGTTTTTCTCTCACAACAATTCAGCCGGAATAGTGTTTTCAGTCAGTTTCAGCCAAATTTCAGACCAGCGAACGGGGTCATTAGATGTATTTCATCCCCTTTTTATTCCTAATACATGTATTTGTGACTTGGATGGACGATTTTGCCCCTGTGGCCTCACGTACAGGCCTTGGGCTCGGTTTGGCTCGTTGGCCAGGATGGCTGGCCGCCGCCGGTGCATGCTGGCTCGCTGGGCGTGCTGGCCGCCGCCTGGGCATGCCTGGCCTTAAAATACAGTAAAAATTCACAAAAATAGATAAAAATGCACAAAAAAATGACTAGTGTTGGGACATGTAATAGATTAAAATTCATGGCATATCACACAATATTAAACACACAGGAGTTCTCGCTAGGGCTAGAGCATTGGACATGGTTTCTGCCGGCGCGTCCAGGCCTTCTGCCGGCACGACCAGGCCCTCAGCCGGCGAGGCCAGTGCGGCCAAGCCCTCAGCCAGCGCGGCAGGCCAGAGGCCGGCGCTGCCAAGCCCTCAGCCGGCACGGCCACCGCGTCCAGGGCTGCTGCTGGGACGCCAAGGCTCCTGCGAGCGGGCGGGCGTCCAGATCATCGGGAGGATGTCCATCCATGCCGGCGTGTCGAGGAACGGTGGCCGTGGGGAGATGGAACGACTCGCGCGATTAGGGATACATCGGGGTCAGGCGGTGGGAGATAGAACGATCGATCTCGTATCCATGCAAGTGCAAAACACCAGAAGGGCAAAAGGGTCTGATTAGAACAGAAATACATATATTTATATTAAAAAAGAGATGAAATACACCAAATGTCAAGGAAATCAAGAGTCCATCGTTTGAAGGTTTATTTTTACGAATACGATGTTTGGAGTTCCAAATCTGCGAAGCACCTTGTTTGGAACCCAAATATGCAATTTTCTCCCTTACTGCGGGTTTGGATTCGCCGGCGACACCTCCGTTCAAGATGAGGCGATTTAGCGACGCCATGCCCGTCGCACTAGGTATCGAGGTGTCTGCGAGTGTGTTCTATCAGCTTCGTCCTCTCTATTCCGCGCCTCCCCCGTGCTCTCGACTTAGAACCTGAGGATCAACACCTGCTGCATCTGTATGTCAAGACGTACTTGTGCTGCCTACTTTC